AAATTAAAGGTATCTTATATTATTTGATATATTATTATAAAACATGCTTTGGTTAAGGAGTTATTGATACTTCAAGTGCAAAATGATGATATAAAACCATGATAAAAATACACTTTTAAGTACTAATCATTGAGACTAATACATATTATGTAATTTCTTTTATAAAAGAAAATAGTAGTTCTCATAAGTTGAGATATGAGAGATACCTAGATCTAATATGTAGGTTCTTATTAGATGAAATGCACGTTGAACTAGCCCACATGAGAATTTCATATGAAGAAATCACTTATATTTATGGAAAGACTCACATGATAATTATGTAAGTGATTTTTAAACTTAAGATCACTAAGTTATTTTATATAGAGTGTTATATTTGGATTCTGTTACATATTATCCTAATTAAGGGTAACTAATAAACAGATATTGGGTATAACATGAACTATTTAAATGTATTTAAGTAATCAAGAGAGGATTTATCACCCTTAATGAATTAAGAAAAATGTTATATCTGTTCTTAAATAATATTGATTATAAATCCTTGTGTAAAGTGAGATGAGATTCCTAAAGAGTTTCAAATCTTATTCAAAAAATCAATGACTATGATGTTAAGAACAAACATGATTTGACATGGTAGACATACTCTATGCTATAATGTCTAAATCAAAACATTATTGATAAAAGGATAATAATTCTATTGATGAACTAGGAATTGAAAAGTTAAGTCAAATCATTTATTACTTTTTTAATATTTGGGGAGTCATGACAGGTTGCTAGATATTATAATTGATCTTTAAATATAAATCAATCAATCATTGAATTGAAAATTGACTAGTACTTAAAAATATATTTTTATTAAGGATTTATATCATCATTTTGCATTTGAAGTATCAATAACTCCTTAACTAAAGCATGCTTTATAATAACAAGTTTAATACTATAAGATACCTTTAATTTATGGTAAATATTCATCATAAATACAGGCCTATCATATAAATAAAAAGAATGATTAATGAGTTGAAGTGCTGAAATTGAAAGGAAAAAGAGAGGGCCAAACTTAGAAAAGAGATGCTAGTGCAGTCCAAACTAGAACACTATTCAGTAATTGGGTTATATCTGGAGTTGTAGATTTCAGATTTAGGTCTAGTTTATATGGATTGAAAACTAAGACATAGGCCTAAAACTTTCATGGGAAGATAAGACTCAATTCTACTGTTTGGAAGTCTAAATCTTAGCAACAACGTAGAAGTTCGAATCTGTTTACAACCTAGATACTATTTAGTGTTCAGCCCATGTCTCGAGTTCTAAAAGTCCAAATGACCTTAATTTTTTTAAAAGAAGTTTTTCCCTTCTCACAGAACAAACTTTTTCAAAAGACAAATTACCACTTTTACTAAAAAATTAGAAAAATTATTTTACCAA